TACTTCTATGTCTTTCCTGTGTTGTATTTATCTTTATACACGTGTAAACAGTAATTTAAAAAGCTACAGCACTACCTAGCTATCAAGTGTCATGCAGATGGTGTAAAAAATGGTGCAAAACCTCCCATCTGCTTGGAGATTATCCATTGCATATTGCATACTCCACAATAATTTACAAATCACTTCACCTTCAGCCTGCTAATGGAGTATTTTGGCACCAAATTTGTTTTGGTTGAAAGGATAGGCAGCACGGAAGGAAGGTTAAACTGGCCCAAAGTTTTATGGAAGTATATACAAAATTGCAGAGTTTGACCAAATGTTCTTTTAATTTTTGGGGAGTTGTAACTGACATAAAATTTGCACATTACAGTGGATGATATTCTCATTAAACATCTAAATTTCATTTTCTGTTCACACAACAGACAGTTTTATTCCAGCGGCCCCTTCACACAAGGTCTGATCAATACCTGTTCTTTAGTCACACTGTGAACACAACATGTTGGTGTGACACCCTCGGCCATTTGGAATGCGTGATTCACAATCGAATTAGTTTGCTCAGGAACCTGTCTCCACGGATACGGCTCCGCTATTCATCCTCCGCATTTTCCCTCCCCGCGTTGTAAATGGGCGCTGCCTACCAAGTATATTTGCAGAGGGAGAAAGGTTGAAAAGCAGAAAGCATACAAATGATTGTCAACTGCAAATAAATTTTATTCAAAGGTCAAAAAAACACTGTGAATCTGACCTTCACACTGTAGCAATGAAAAACAATATTCCGAACTGTGCATGACAGATAGATGGAGTTTCTATGGGCCTGAATTTCATACTCCAACCTGCAAATCGATTTAGCATTGGAATTCTACCACCATCTATGTATATTTATATTGTAACATGTTATTGTGTGATAGGCTGGTAACTTGCAATACATTTCAAATGACAGTAGATTTTAAAGATTTGTGGTAATGTTTAGAGATAGTAATTGCTATAGGATGATACTTACTTAACCTACCTTTACAGTTGTCAGAGCAGATGTCAGCAAGCAGATACTTCAGCACAAATGGTATGGTCATAACTAATGGTAGGTAACAGTTTCCCTTACCATATCTGCTTGGAGCCTGTCCACAAGCAACCAAAGAAGGATTATTTGAAAGATCAGTAGTTGTGTTTTTCTCCCTGAAAGTAAGCCGCGGCCTACTTTCAGCTGTAATCCATGGCTTTGAATGAATAAATGGAACGGTTTTCCATGTTATGAAAGTGAGTAACTTTTGTTGTTTCAGGCCAGATAAACAGTGAGTGCATAAAGGTTACCGCAGGTTGTATACAGCTGTACCATAGCTACCACGGTGCCAGATATAAACAGGTCAATCTCCAAGTAGATGTTGGGAAGTTTTTCTTCTACCCCACTGACACTTTACACATTTAAGAGGGGCACCTCTTTCAGAAATGATGTTGCTGCCCCTTTCTCAGCCCCTGTCAACAGCAGTCTAAAGATAGGCAGTGGACAAAATTTTACAGGCCATGTATATATGGAATCTGGGACAAATGCAGTGACCCATGTATATAAAAGCAGACTGTGGTGCATGAAGGCTGCAGGACTGATTTTAAATAACACCAATCTGACACATATATATGCACACTTTGATTAGGCAACAACTGGCCTTTTGAACTTGGAGAATGTCCTGTCAGAAAATCCAGCTGGTCAGAAAACTTTACAAATGGCCACCTAACATCTGCTTGCAGGTTAAGCAGGTCCTCAGTGTCCAGCCATGCGACCTACATCCTGGAGAACAGGTGGTTTTTATGTGGCAGTAAAGTTGACGCCGAGGTCCCCTCCAGAACAGGTGTTTTGTGTAGACGTGTGCGGAACAAATGAAGACTTAACAGGTCCTGGTGTGAAGTAAAACACCTGAGGGTTGAACCACCACTCACAAGACAATACACAGATGATTCCTGAACAGGTTGATCCTTGTATTTCCAGATTAAGCACTTAATAATTAAGGGTTATTAACCGTCAATACAATACTGTATCTGCTTGAATACGTTACCGGTAATACATGCCAAATTTAGGAATTCTCTTTGAACTGTTTATGCTAGTTGTACAGTTGCATTAAGATTTTGGAAAATACAATGTAGCACCAAACGTGTACAGTTATTACAAATGTGCATTACTTCTAGAAAATACAGCATCTGTCCATCACAGCTGCCTACAGTGCTTGACCCTTCACCCTATCATATGTCAGACATGGCAGAACTTGTATCCTTTATGTGCATACATTTCTCAGAGAACTCCACTTGAATTTGAAGCACCCTACAACACACACTTGTCACTGTGCTGCAAGGCTGCTCTTGTGGCGTGAAAGAAAAACAAAACAAAAATAAAGGAATGAATAGCTGATTTCTGTACTTTAACAGAATTTAAGTGACTCAATCATGAACATAAATATGTTTTATGAACAAAGCTTTGTCATGATTACAAAATACCAGTGTTTTCAAAAGGTTTGTACTTGGAGTGTTGACAAAATACTGATCAACCCAATAAGGAACATGGCTGACACGAATGCCAAGTTGACAGAAGAATGGGGAGGGGGATAAAACCTAATCCTCTGTAAAAAGAAAATTAAGATTCTGCTGGCAAGCCATCATGTTTTACAATTAATAATTAGCTATCTAGAAAAGATCATTCTTCATCTTGTATGCCATATGCATATTTTGAGAACAATTGGCATGGGAGCTTCAACGCGGGAGTCAATCAGGGAAAGATCATCTTTTCCTGGCAGTTATAGTAATGCCTCTAATTATCACCCTGCCAGCTGCCAGCCTGGCACTACAGTTTGCCAACAAACAAGCTGACATATCAACATTGTCGTGCTGTGCATTTCTCTTCTCACCATGAGTTTCAACCGCGCTGGCATGGTGTGAACATGTATCTCTATTTTTAACATCCCAATAGGTAAGTGTGGAGGGAGATAATAAACAGCAATGATAAGACAGCAAGTTGCTATAAAACTCAGCTGTCAACCGCAAAAGCGTGCAAACGTACGCTAGAGGAGAAACGCGGTATAAAACATAAACTACATCCACTTCAGGTATTAAACAGCAGGACTGGGCTTTGGGGATTCAGTCCAAAATGGCTGCTGTATAAACAGAGTGTTGACATTTGGGGTCCAGGTGACAAAGAGCCCAGGAGAAAGTAAGACAAATAGACTGCTTCACCAAAAGGCATTTAACAGGCAAATGAAACCTTATCTGGACTCCATTCTTGCCTTGTTGTGAATCCTTTATCTGTGTTTGGGAAATGGGTCGTGTGCATTCAGGACATGCCAGCCAGGCCCACAATGGCCTCGGCCCCGCTAGGTTTTGTGTTCCGCAGGCCAACAAACCTCACAGCTCAATGGTTGGTGCCGTTTTGCACGTCCATAATGGCAAAGGGAGAACTGGCAGCCACCACCGTGTAAGCAGACATAATGTAGTCTTCTCCTACTTCGCTCTGGATGCCTTCCAGTCATGAGTATGTCAGGGCAAGGAGGTTTAACGGGAAACTATAACCTCAAGCATCCTTGTCAGGGACAGTTTTCTTTTGCTAACATAAAGACATTTTACTTGGCAGGTGATTCTAAGGGAGCAACACCTGACTTAAATCCTATCAATATAATTTTGAAACCAGGGTAGAAGCATCATGGAAAATCTGTCTTTCCCTTGCCAGCTGTCAGTGATTTATGTATACCAAGCTGACAGAAAAGACTACAACTGTTACATTTATACCTGGGATATCCACCTTATGCACATGTATAAGGCAATGTATACCTCACAAGTATACAATGTTTGCAATCAGGAGGTAATCAAAAAGTAAGATCATACAAAGGGCTGAATGTTGCCAAAAATCTGTTCTATATTTAGCTCACCCTGCAGTTTTTCATGGTTGGGAGGTTTTGATAAGGTGGCTGAGACTGAATTCAGCACCACCTGCCAACATTTCTAATGAATATATCATTGGCAGTCCAGTCTAATGAATAAGTAATATTACATATGTGTGTGTGTCCTTCGATTAATTTTTCCACCTCCAAAAATACCATTGAAGAAAACCAAAAACCCAGCTGTCTGCTAATATAATAGATGCCTGTCTGGAAAGTAACATGATTTGTATGTAACACAAACCACCCATATCCATACAGGCAAGTCCCCAAGGCTTGTGGTGGTCAGCCATTTTATTAACAGGTGCAGGCTCCAGTTGCCTTCACATCATTTTACAATATACACCATATATAACCATACCGGTAGTAATGGTTTGTTCAAGATCTTTTTTCACCCATGCCCTACTATCCTAGGGGACACACCAGTCTGTATCTGCCTATAGATGAAATGGTGTCCGCTTTATTCTGTTTTTCATGCATGGTTAGCTTTCATTTCCTTCCAATTTGTGTGCCCTTGAAACACGATTCAGCGATAGGGGCAAAAATTCCCTGTGCCCTGGCTTGATTGGCTGGTCCCGAGGGATTGCACCAGCTATGCAGCAGGTTACAAAATAGAACCGCATTCGGCGCACAGAAATAGCACGGGCTCCCGCCAACGCTTGATGAATGGGCTGTGCTATAATCGTCATGATGTGGAATTGAATCTGAACACATGGCACCCTGCCCTGTGGAAATGAATTTGGCGACTCCCTGACCCACTGACACCTAGTAGGGACCTCCCTTTCCTGGTAGACACTTAACTTCGAGTGGGTGTGAAATTTGGGCAATTCTAATCTGTTTAGATTTGTCGAATACATAAATATTACATAAACCAGAAGTGCCCACCACAATATTGAACTGTTCCCTAGTCCCTGAAGGCATGGGTGCCCTATTGAATATTCTATATCAGTCCTAACCAATTTGGCACCTCATAACTCTGGGCACTTACTCTTTAGTATTAACATTGACCTTGAGTATCAGCCTGTTACAGGTCACTAGGCTTTAAACCTGAACTTGAGACCAGCACAATGAATCAAACAAGAAACAAGTTTTCCAGTTAGAACCTGTTTTTTAATCAGTTGATTAAAAATTGCATTCTGGAAAGAAAATCACTCAACATTGACATGAAAACCTTCCTACAAATTTTCTGAAAACTAAAAACTGAAAAAAGTGCTATTTAAAAAAATTTACAGATTTTTCCTTTCACACAAATAAATCATTTGTAAGTATTAAAATCGTATATACAGAAGAATTGTTGTGTCCTGTGGGTATGTACAATTGATTTGAACAAGACATATAGTCTCCTATGCACCGGCTAGGCTGTACGTTACTGCAAATACTCCTCTCTAGTGTAGTAGACATTCTTAGCACCGTGAATTTCACGATGAAAATATACATTTCTATTTGATACAGTACAAAATACATGTATCTGGATACACACATGATCTATTCCTCTCAATGTCCTATCTTTTACATGATAATGTGTATGAAGTACAAAAATATACATGCGTCATTTTTTTCAACATGTATTTTTGTACATCCTAGGATGTTAAAGTATATATATATGGCACCTTCCACCAGCCCAGTGCGAGATACAGGCAAAGTGGGACATGCTACATGAAAGGCATACAAACTGTGGTCCGTGTGGCAAAGTGGTCTGACATTTGACGACAAGGAATACATTAACATTAAACATCAGCTACCCACTGCCTAAAGCACCATTACATTTAGATTTAGTTTGGTCTCTACATCAAAAAGGATGGGGGAGCAAGAATTCTGTGTCTTCCGTCTGTAACTGCTTGTTTATCTCGGAGGTGCACTGCATTTTTTACTGGTGAGAAATACGACCCAAGGTAGCCATGCTAGCCACACCCCCTTTGTTATTGGGCTTTTCTTAGCGACCACACTGGGAACAATGCAGTGACTGAAGCACCACAGTGGCACATACTGCCCCCAAAAGAAAGCTGATCTGCCCTTACTTGATTACCATACCCCCTTGGAGCGTGATTGGCAGGATTGGCACCCCACGACGACAAACAACAGTGCCGGTGCAATGAAAGTGCAGCATCTAAACAGGGTTATTTGGTACATCCGTGCTTCTTAGAACTAACAGGCACGGAGAGGGAAACCTTACAACATTTAGGCACTTTTCTGTTACTGTTACACTACTTGATGGTTCACTGAGAAGTTGGATTTTCCCTAGTTACACACAGAACAGTGCACAATTCTGTGCATTACAGAGTGTGGATGGACTTACATGTACATTACAAAAAAGCAGCACAGAGTAGACTTACAATCTACATTTCTCTGACCTGCAGTTATAACCAACTATGTGCTGGGGAGCACATATTTTAGGACTCAACTTTTGACACATAGGCAGCAATGACACAATGAGGCCATCCCCACATAACTACTAAAGAGGCCTGTCTTCCCGCTTGCCATGTCCCTACTTTACAGGTTAAAATCACATGGAATGTTTGCAGACATTTTGTCCCTGATAGAGGACTTGGCAACCAAGAGGAAATACCACCAAAACACACTAGATTCTATTTTTTTTGTTCGCATGTATCACAGATACATGCAGCAGCTTTTTCAAACCTGGGCGGATTCAGAAACACGACAGTGTACAAGTGGCTTTGCCTTGCCTACCGTACAGCGGCGCTTTTAGCCAACGATTTTTGGCAACACAGTTCTCTGCTGCAGGGAGGAGTCGTTCTGAGCTTGGTGCTGCGCGTGCATTGCTCTGGCTTTGGATGCAGATCCGGTCGGAGGTAGCTTGGCCACCGCTGCATTCCTCCCCGACGACCCTCTCCTCGAGGCAGACCCACTCGCTTCCTGTACGGGCGGTTTGGGGAGCTTGCGGCGTAACCACGCGTGCCGCAGGGCCGCTGCCGGGGTCATTCTGGCCGCGGGGTCCCATTCCAAACATCGCTTCAAGAAGTCAATGAACAAGGGATCGTCGCAGCCCTTCAGAGCTGTTACCCAGTCCTTGGACCCCGGCGGACCCCTCCACTTCCCTCTCCGCGAGCGGCTACCGTCCAACACGGTCGTCCCGTCACTCAGGGTTTTAACAGAACAGTACCTGGGGTAACCTTTGGAGCTAATAAAGTTTTTGGCCCTTTTGGACACGTCCAGCAGCTTTTGCGGCGGCATTCCTTGCAGCTCGATCATGCAGGCTAGTTGGTCCCCTTCATCTTCCCCAGGCAACAGCGGGTAACCAGTCAACAGTTCGGCCAGAATACAGCCCAGGCTCCACATGTCTATGGCCATGCCATACTTTGCCCCCAAAATGACCTCTGGCGCTCGGTAGAAGCGGGACTGGATGTAGGTGTACACGCGTTGGTGTTCGTAGCAGCTGGAGCCGAAGTCTATAACCTTAATCCCGCTGCGACCCTGCTGCTTCAGGAGGACGTTCTCCGGCTTCAGGTCACAGTGAATAATGCGATTGCGGTACAGGGCCTCCAGGCACTGCAGCAGCGAGTGCGCGAACTTCCGCACCAGCTGCAGCGAGAACCCCTGGAACTTGTTCTTCTTGATGAGTTCGTACAAGTTCATGGACAGCAGCTCGAAAGTGATGCAGATGTGGTTCCGGAAGGTAAAGCTCTCCCCCATGTGCACAATGTTCATGTTATTGTCCTTGTCTTGCTTCTTCAGATGCTCCAGGATGCGGATTTCCTCCTGTGCCTGGCGGTGGAAACGTTTCTCGTTCCTGACCATCTTCAGCGCTGTGTGCACGTGGTTCTTGTGGTCGTAGACTTTCACCACCTGGGGTGCGACAGAGAGACAGGAATGTTATAAGCATGACATGAAAAATGACAATCCTTAAAACTTTGACCTCTGTGAAGGACATGACATGGCATGATGCCAGTTGGCTAGACAGACAGATTACTGTCTTTGAACATCTATAACATCTAATCAATTTGAGAGAACACTAAGTACATTCCATGTTCTATTTTGGGCATAATTTATGCACTAGCACAAGCTTGGGCATTGTCAAACATGTAAACAAGGACATGATAACTGCCTATTCTAATTCCCTGGGGGATCTGGAGTTGCAAATTTAGATCTGTCTGGCGGCATCAGTGATAACACCGGCCTTTGTTTTGTCCTAAAGTTGTCCCGCATTCATCGCCTGGTAACAATGCATTTCCATGGTGTCTCCGGGAAAAATAGCCCGGGGCTAGACAACGACAGGACGACCATCTTCGTGTGGGGAAACGATAAATTGGCCAAGATGGCGTGCTCAACACAATGTAATTCAATAGAAGTGATCGTGGTCAGAATAATGTGGCTTCGCTAGAGCGATTTCGCCCAAGAAACTGTGGTAATGAATTGATTATTACAGCGGAGGGAGCACGGCTCACATATTAAACCTAACGTTTGTAGTACGCCTGGTGGGTACACAAAGAGCCGGTGCGCCGGTTTGGTATGCAGACAATTTTCTATATTACCTGAGCCATGTGAAAGCTAAAATGGGGAGAGGGGGAGGGTCAGACAGTACGGGACAGGGAATGCCGATGCCAGACGCCAGCTGTACCCCCTCAGCTGTTGTACATGAATCATGCAGTACATCAAAAATCAAATATGGGGAATCCCGGAGCTCTACATACCTGGCCGAAGCTTCCTTTTCCCAGAACTTTGAGCACTTCAAAGCGGTAGCAAATGTGATCGTGAGGAACGTGGATGTACGAGCCCTGCTCGTCGTCGAATCCGTTGTTGTTGGCCCCGCCGATCACCCCCTGACGTTTCTTGGCGTTTGGCCCCGCGAAGTACACCTCGGGGTAGTTGAAGATCTCGTGGTGTTCAAACGGGGTCAGCTTGTGCATGAAGGTCTTCATGGCTTGCTCCGGAGAAAGTGGTGAGGTTTTGGGCTTGCCTGAGCTAGATTTGCTGGCTGTTCCTGACCCGGCACTGCGCTCCCGGTAGATGTTGGGTGGCTCGTTCTGGTTGCCAACGTTGACGGTGGGCAAGGATCGGTGGTGGGAATCTCTGCCTGCGACGCCATTTTGAATCGGCTTGGTCAGGGAACCCTGTCTTTTGTGCATACCATGGTCGGCCTCGTAAAGCTGCTCCACCTGGATCCCGCCGATCAGATTGTCGGCCTGCTTGCCGCCTCCTACCGTCTGGCTCTTGAGCGGTGGTAGGCCGACGTGGGAGGGAGGATCGGCCAAAGTCCGGTTGGAGGCCGTGTTGTGCGAGGCGAAGTAGTCCGCCGTTGACGTCGTGTCCCCGGCCGTTATCAAAGACCTGGTCCGAGAAGGCATCGGGTTCCTGGCGAGCATCATCCGGCCAGAATAAAGGCGAAAATCCGTAGGGTCATCCGTAAAACGTCGTGTGATCACCTCCGTCAGTTTGCCGGCATTGATTGGATTCCCGATCGGCGGGAATTACGGCAGAAAAGGGACCGAAAAACCCGACAACTTCCAGTGCAACCTGCGGGCCAGCTTCTGTTTCCTGTTGCTGTTTGAGAGGTCTGTGGGGAATGGGCGCGTTGCTTGGCAACAACAGTCTGCAGTTGGTAACACGTCATAACACCATGACGTATTCACTCACGTGACCTCTCGCCGACCAATCGCGGCACCGCACACCTGCAAAACATTCAAATATCGCGTTACTAAGGCTAGGCGGTGATCAGGTAACACCTGTGGAAACTGTAAAGTTAAACTTTGTCGTTAGTCGGTTTACAAATTCAACACGACTTCACAGGGTTTATTTGCAACGGCGACAATTAGGTCTCGAGTGTGTTTGCATTGCAGGTAACACTTTATACCATTGAGGTTGGCAAGTTGCCGTTCCCGTTTCAAAGGCATGGTTCGATGTAGGCCGGATATTTATTCCTTATCTGATGAACTTGGCTGATACACGGTGGTGACACCCTTCTAGTTTTACTAGGAATGACATTCCAGTGTAGACTACTCATTGTGTACGCAAGACACACATCCACACCTATTGCAGGTTCACAGCTAGCAACAAAGTATAAAATATTGTTTTGCAAATTTGCAACTGACTTGGTGCTTTCAAAACATTATAAAACGAAATAAAGAGAAAAATAACAGAAATAAAACCTCATTTCCCTGTCGTAAAAATGTAATTTACTACTGACTGATATGTCGAATAGCACCCAGTCGTTGCTTTGTCTTGAAAAGTAAAATTGATAAGACAACGCCATTAAAGCATTTCATGACATGATAGCGTCGTAAAATAACACTAACGTTCTTCCGTTTATCGTCCATTATAATTTACCATAATCATAGTTATTACCAACACTTCCCTATCATTTTCTCCAACGGTTTTCGTGCCTGTAGTGTTTTACGTGCACGGAGCCATGAGCCATTTTGTGCCCCAAACAACTCTGACATCATCATTATATTTTTGGCACGCGATTCAGCCAAAATCCCGTCCCCAGCTTTGCGTCATGTCAAACTTGACAAGCTGACAAAAAGCGAGGCTGGCGATGATAAACACTGGTCTACTGTCCCTGGTTATCCCTTATATTGACGATAGTGGCCGGACAAACGCGCTTACTGAGGAGTATGTGATGGCCGTGTTTGTAGTACAGGTGCGCAAACATGCACTTTTGTGTGACGGCTGTTTGCAAGCTTTGCTAGGGGAGAAATTTATAAATAGCGGCGTGTGTCTATTGCATACCCATTGCTTCAAATGATGGCTTCATATAGCTATGTTAGACATGCAAGACAAGGAAAATCCCTCCAAGCGCTATTTGGCCTGGATTGGCTGTCTGTCTGTCAGTCAGTCTGTCGATGCCTGTCTGTCTGTCTTTCACTTCACTTTATTTATTTTACCAGTAATTACAACTCAAGTCATTTTGGCCTGCTTTTCAGATAATCCTGGATATACTACAGTACATAAAAAGTACACACAGAAATACACTGTCTGTAAAAGGGCAAGGTTATTCTTCCCATCCAACGGCCTCTGCTTGGAGACTATATACTAATATAGAGCCTGCTTCTGCATTATGGTGAATATCTCACCTCGGTAGCTATCAAAGTCTCCAACAAACCGATTTGGCAGAGTCTTACCAAAAAAAGGGCAAGGTCGACAAGAAAATGCGATTTAAGCCCCGCAGATGATTGAGTTATTCCTGCGAAGTCAGTCTGCCACGGCGTCGTGACAGAATATTATTTCAAAAGCTTTATTTTCAGCCCTCTTTATTACGGGAGTATAAAGTGAAAAAAAAAGCCCGCGGCAGTTTTCATTTGAATCTAAAAGCAAGTTGCGGTACGCGTGCAGGCTAATTAAGCTCCCGGGGCTCTAAAACTCAAGCACAACAATTCAAGCAGAGCTCTTCTAATTCCTAGTTATTAATGAAGGCAATACACAGTGCCCGACGTGAATACCAATGTAACAGTTCTGCATAGCACATACACATTTGCTTTCAATTGAATGTTAACTTCAATGAAAACTATACAGTTGCACACAGTTGATAAGGATTGCAGGGGTGTGTTCATATTCCTTGATGCTATTCCGTGGATTTCACGTCACGTCTCAAGTCTTATTGGCAAGAAAACTGCCCTTGTAACAGGTCAGCATTTCTGACCCTTCAATTTTAGGACAATCTCAGAGGTCGTGCCCGAGTCCGCGCACCTGTGATGGGGGTTCTAATGGTCTTCCACACACCATACCAAGGATAACCTACTTACTCACACCCCAGTCATGCATCCTTGTATAAATCTGCCTTCATCATATCTGCACTTTTTCTGTACAACAGGGCACTAACCCTACTAGCTGATGCATTGTATTTACTAGAAACTGACAATCCTTTTACTTGTTTGTCTGTTTTTGCTCATGAGATGTGACGCAAAATCCCATACTATGGTACATTTCATGGATAATCATTGAAGGGAAATTTAATAGGGTTGGCTAGCTGGGTTGCTGTCTACTCTCTCAAAGCGGCAGTACCCCCCCCCCGGCCAACACACACACCTTGACATATCACTGTAGAACGTGCGACCTAAGGAATGGCAAAATAACTTTACCCTGGAGACGGACTGAAAGGTTATGTTGGTTAAAGGACTGTAGCCTGGAGACGGAGCCATTTTCAAGATTAAAAGTGTCCATCATCGGCCCAGCTCCACACTTACCTGACACCACAAGCTCACCACCGGCGTTCCTTCCACATACAGCGGCGCCAAACTATCCTGTTGTTCATCCCTCATCCCCCGACTTAAACACCCTTTTCAGCGACGTCTCATCAATTTACACGTCTCCAGGTGAGCCATTCACCTGCCGCACCCGTGGCACCTTTCTCCTCCCACGGAGCATGACCGGACTTTACAGGGACTGCTGACAGCCGGGATTTGGTTTCAAGTCTTCTGTGTGTGGAGAACAAATAACTGTGACCTTTCAGGGGTGGGACTACAGACGTGAGGAGGTTCGGAGCCCGGACTCAAATGGTCACAAAAATAGCACAAAAACGGTGCACCATTTTTAACGTTCCCGGCGTGGGGGACTGGGTAAATCCCACTTAAGCCTCTCCCAGAATAACGTGAAATTTAGCTTAGACTTTATTGAAAGGGACCACAAAGGCGGACTGGTGTGTTGTTTGCCGTCCGTGAGCTCTTACCAACATGTGTGACAGCTTCTTGGTTACCGCACAACTTTGGAACGGAGAGAAGAAGATGCCGAGGTACATCGGCAGGTATATTATCAGGGATTAGATAAGGCTAAAGACCGGCGCTTAGACATCACGAAATTGTACTATTTTAACACACGGAGTTTCTAGTACAAATGTATATACTTAGAATTGCTTTGGCAACGGGCATGTAAATCGCCCGTTGGAAATGGAGCGAGTGGCGATATGGCCATGCTCGTGTGGTTTAGGTACACAAGGCACACATACGGTCGTGTTGGACAACATCGCTCTCTTTTTACACCTCGGGGTTTGTTTGAAACTAACAAACCGGCATTGTTGCAGAACCAGTCGGTAGCTACATTACGGGAGCTATTCTGGTCGAGATCGATGCTATCAAACTGAGGGTCTGTGACGTCACTCTCTACGATTCACGGAGAAAAGGACTGGGCAGTAAACAACACCTGCAGTGTGCGTACCACTAACAAAATAAATGACTACATTGCCGAAAATAGCGATTTTCATAGGGTTATCGTTCACTTGCCAAACTTACATGGAAATGGTGTACCTGTTTAATCAGATATCTACAATTTAGCCCTCCGGTTCCCCATGTTGCCATGGTAACCACATCACAAGGATCAGTTGGCAGCTATGGTCTTTCATCATGCTTGCAATTCGTCAAGCAAATGGCTACGTGCCTTTGGCTTCCGGAAACCCGCAAAGCTAGGCGGAGATATCCTTTCATTGTATTTTGCTTGCCGTAAGGCCTGGTATCTTGTATATCGACCTCTATGTTGATCCTTTGAGTTATAGCAATAACCGATGATGGAGTTGTAAGTCAAAACGGGGAAACTTTATAGCACAGAGACATCAAATATTCTATTTATTTTTTTGCAAATAAAAGTTGTCATCAATCAATAACACAAAGCTGCATTAGAATCATTCTAGTCAATACGAAATTGACCTAGGTATAGCAATTTGACGCGATTTAATTGGTTAGTAGATATTCGAATTCAATTTACATTAAGATAATTCAAAGCCTTCAGGCGTAGGGGTGATTGCAGAGGTTTTTAAGTTAGTTAAAACACAGACTGAGATGTATCCACTGCGAATTCGACCCGAATTCTATCCTTTCAAGAATTCGAGGCATATAATTTCGCCCGAGGGAACGTAATGATTGGAGAGCTTCAATTTACAAGAAGATAATTCCAAGCTTTCGGGGGTAATCCTTTGATCTTCGGTAAGTCCGTCTGACGACTTTGGAATCGATAACAAAGTAGCGAAACATCTTCAATACTCATGATTCTGATTTTCTTCTAAGGATAACAAATTTAATGGTAATACATTGCATTTATAGTATTTACTCGGAATGTGCAATGTCTCCTTGTATTCTATGTCTGAAATATGGCACCGCAACACATAATCTTAAGTCAGTACTTTTTGCAACAACAATTCGGTGATATGTAATACCGAATAGCTAGAAAAAACCTTATACCCAGAAAAATACCTAATCCAATGAACAAGAGGATTCTAGAAAAGCGCCTTTCATCAAAGCCGCATTTGACAAAAGGCGCTTTCCTGAAATCCCCTCGCATTAAACCGGGGTGATGTACGTCGATTAGTATGTACGTTCTGAGAGACACTTTTTTCTCCACTTCTTCTGATACTTCAGTTACAATTACCATCAGGAAAAGTGCAATAAAATTGTGTCACACATGGGACCAGTTCTTTCTAATGAGCAGACTGAGTGCGGATAGAGCTTTTCCGTCCCAGAGAAATTACAGACGGCGGATGTGCAGTCGGATCGGAAATTAAAACTTGAGATGGAAGATTAAGACGCCGGTAATATCCATTTGCAGTGTACGTGCAGAAAGACGACTCCGCCTTTAAGACGAAAGCCAGAGCGTTCATCTGAGGACCGGCGTGTGATCATATTAATAGGGCAAAAGAAAAGTAGCCTCCACCAGGTCTTTCTACGGGAATACGGATCGTAGAAGTCGGCAAAAAAGGAGAGT